CATGCATTGGGATCCAATTAAATATTAAAAATATAATAAGAATTGATTAGAGTGCAGCCAGGCGAGGACAGCCCAGGCCAGGCAAGCGCAAGCCAGAACAGCCCGGCCCCGACTTACGGGTACCCTGAAGGCCACAGCCTCGAAGTGGCGTTAAAGGCAGAGACCTCTCGAAACTCTCGGGGAAAAACTCGCAAGATTGAACCCTGCTAAGCTACTATACTTTAGCCGTAGGCCGGAAGCCTGTGAGCCCTGCCCTAAACCCTAGCTAGTCCTGAGACCTAAGACCCTGAATTACAATGGATTTAGGGTTTAGGGTTTAGGGTTTAGGGTTTAGGGTATCCTAAACTGAAGGTTTATGGGGTGCACAACCGATGCGGCCTCCATCATTCGCCGGAAGCGGAAATAGTCCGGATGTCCTAGCCAACCAGGCCCCTCCAATAAGCTTCTACAAACCTTCCGAATTGAATTTAGGTTTTCGGCTTCAGCATTTGGCGATGTCCCCTGTAAACGGACAGAAATGGGAAACTCGTAGACCCCGTAATGTCGGATATCGTGTTGCAGATGCCTCTAGACCGGGTTTGGCAGTGTAGATGATTTAATCCAAACCGTTTGGGGTCTGGGGGATATGCTTTTAGGAGGTTTAGGGTTTAGAAAGCGGCGTTCAAAATTCAGAGTGGGGTTCCTGTCTAGGTGACTTTAGAGGATTATCCCAATCTCCGACTTGGGGTCCTTTTTTTGCGTACCCAAAATGGGTTTAGGGTTTAGGGTTTAGGGTTTGGGGCACCCTTACACCCTAAAAGGTATCCAAATTTAAAGAACTACCCACATACAGTTATTCGGGTCTCCGTTCTTGCAAAATATGCCGTCCTTTCGCCTGAGCTAGCCCTACACCCCACAGTCTAAGCCCTAAGCCCTAAGCCCCAAAACCTAAACTCAAAGCCCTGAACCGTAATTCCTAAAACCCTGTAAACCGGAAACCTTAAGCACACACATGCCCGAGTCGCAGAACAGCGGCCGGAACCTCAAATCCACATCCTCTTAGACACGGTAACCAAAAATCAGTAAAGGTTCAAGCTCTCGCTGTCTGCATGGCCCGAAATCTTAAGTCCTTGGACTACAACATCCTCAGAACTTACAGGCGGGTCCTTCCGAAACCAATGCTATCAAAGAGCGAACCCCCAAACATAGGTACACACTCAAAGGGATGGCAATAGCAGCGGATAGTGTAGCACTCACGTGTAAAGTGTAGGGTCTAGACGCCCCCCGCCTCCCCCTTCCCTCCTCTCCCCCCCGCCGCAAAATCCTATTCTAGTTGTGAAGGCCACTACACTAGAGTACTCACCGGCGCCCATCCGAATCCGACCACCGGGCCTGGCAGCACCAAGTCCTCACGCAAAGATGCACTGTAAGTCTAGAAGGGCTTCTTGGCGTTACCAAGACTGTTCTTGAAAGGGCTCGTGAAGGGTCTAAGCCTAAACCCTAAACCCTAAAACCCTAAAACCCTAAACCCTAAAACCCTAAACCCTAAACCCTTTATAAACCCCTAAACCCTAAACCCCTAAACCCTCAAGGTCTAGGTGCCTTCTGCTTGGACTAAGATCTTCGGAAACAACAGGGTGTATAGTGCAGGGGCCTTAATGAATTTGAATAATGGTTTTGGAACCCATTATACTATCATTATAAAAAGGAACCCCCAAAATAGTATAGGTAATGATTAAGACCCCTATAGTATAGTGGCAGAATAAGGTACCAAGAGGATCCCTGTGGTTAGTTCTCGAAAGTAGGGTCCCTTTTAGGGTCCGTTTTTTTAAATACGTACGATTTTGGGACCAAAAAAGGGTCCCTACTTTAGAGAACTACCCATAAGTATTACCATCAAAATCTAGGCCCCCAAGCCATTGTCAGGCTGGTCTTAAGTTACCAAGCGGGTTCATATGTACTACCATTATGGAAAAAGATCCCCCAAACCATTCATGAGGATGGTCTTGTGGGGCCTGAATCATACTGGTATATACATACTGGTATATATTGGTGGCCTATATGGACCCTCTGGGGTATGAGGACTAAAAGCCCCGCTCTATGACCCTAGTGCTGAACCGCAGAATTCAAAGTCTCAGCCGTGCAGCGCCAAGCCCAACCAAAATTATCCAACCCTAGGGGTACAGCATTGAATCCACGATCCCGCACTCTAACACCTGAACCCTAAACCCTAAACCCTAAATTGTAAAGCAAACCAAAGTATACAGTTGTGTGCGCAATGATCCTCGGTGCAAGAGACCCACAAGTACGAGCATAAGCAACAAAGACTACTACGGCGACGACGGCTACTAAAACTGCTCCTGCTACTGCTGCTAACGCTGACTGCTACGACGACGACGACGACTACTACTGCTTGTACTGCCACTACTGCTAGAACCACTACTACTACTACTACTACTACTACTACTACCACCACCACTACTACTACTACTACTACCACCACGACGACTACTACTACTACTACTACTACTACTACTACTACTACTACGACGACTTCTAGTGCAACGACGTCGACTACTATGGCTGCTGCTGCCGGACCTGGTGCGGGTGCGCACTTCAGAGATATCAGCAGCAGAAAGCACAAGAGATAAACTGATCGTTCCACAGAGGACAATGCAGCACAGTTCCTGCTTGTCCTTGTGAATGGCCTAAGGGTTTAACGAGGAACTTTGGGTTTCAGGGTCCAAAAACCACTCA